CCCCATTGGTGTATCCAACCTGTTAAGTCATTAGTCTACTAAAAAGAAGTCACATCGCCATCCGTTTTGGGAAGGTCAGAACATGAAGAATGAATTCCAACAACAATAGATCCTGAACAGAGGGGCTATTAATCACAGAGGCGTTACCTACCAAAATGGGACACTGCAGGTGGCAAAGTTTCAAACTAAAACCAGCTAAATCGAGATAAGACAGGATAAAGTGGGAATGATCAAAATGGCTAGATTGTTAATCGTAATCCAAATAGAGCAAGTAGTGAGTCACCAAAAAGAGAATCACCGTAAAAGATACCTCATGGTGAACAGGGATGAAAAGGGTGAAAAAGAGCTACCAGATGGGCAACCACCACCGACCAAAAACAAGTCCAGGAAGAAGGGAAAGGGAAGGCAATGGGTAACTCGGAAAAAGCACCGGATAGGCATCCGAACAGAGAGAACTGGGCACAAATTTCTCACAAAAGCCTGCCAAAAAGCACAAGGGGAATCAAAAGGCGTCCAAGGGCTTCCCATTCATGGGGCTTGGCTGCCAATAGACAACCTGAAGGACCCTAGTCACAGTCCACCAGATCATCGATAGGAACGCTGCCTTCTCTTCTTCTTGTTCACAGGGCATCCTGATCGGGCTGGTGGTCTTTCTTTCCACAATATTGCAACATCCATCTCAGCATTTGTTGTTCTGCATCTTGCGCATTGGGCTTGGCACGGGCATCCTGAACCTCAAGCCTGAGGGCATTGTAGCGCCTTCGGCCTGCATTGGACCAACCTCCATACTCATTGTTCTGCCACACACTGACGCTCGCTGGTGTGGTAAGACGAGATATCGTAGCCTATGGCAACTATCACATCTCGCCCACTGCTGCTCACATAACTCGAGTCTTGATCGCGACTGCTCACTACGGAGGCTAGTCTCTCCTTTCTTCTCTAGCCACTCAAGTCTAAGCCCTCTGTTCAAGGATTGATATAGGCGCGATAAATCCATGCTCAACTCGCTACGCTCGCGTGGAGTCTCGTCGTCTGGCGGCGCAGCGCGTATCCCGGTTGCCTACCCACGCAGACTCCGGAGGAATCGTGTGCCTCCCTAACTCTCTGGCACAGCTCAATCGTGTGTGCTCGTGGCGGATTGACTCATCCTCTCTCTTTTTGGGCACAAAGGGTAACATACCACGTACTGAAGTTGTTTCCCCTGCCAGTAGTAGATTGTAAAGTACGTCACTTCCCAACCTGGAGCACCGGTTGCCTAATTGGAACCTTGGACTTGGTTCCGAAGGAGAGGTTGGGATGTGCTTCCCAAACGAGACCTGAGGTCTCGTTTTCAGAATTACCTACAATTGCGCTTCTTAGATGCAGATGCCGAAGAATCCTGGCTCAAGAGCAAAGCTAGAGCGCTTTTGATGCAAGATATTATCGACAATGTGATTCCGCGACAGCCCGACAAAGCAATGCCAACCAGTGAGATCTTTACAAGCCGTCCCGAATATGCTCTTCATGGGTACAAAAACTTCTCGACACGACTTTCAAGCCTTTGAAAGATTGTGAAGTGGCACCTCTCTAGAACCGATGATGACAAGGCTGCATTGAGCAATTTCCTCACAAATAATGTTGTGCACAAATTCTCTGCTCATGGTTACCTGGAATGGCTGGGATGGATCAGAAGCAAAAAAGTGATTGGAAGAAGACATCGAGCTTGGCTTACTCGAGACGCTAGAACCCGCGGAGCTTAAGTGCCTTCGAGATGCCTGAAAGTTTTTAGAGATCACATCTATCAGCTAGCCAAAACAAAGAAATACCTGCATACATTGGATATGAAAGGAAAGAAGCGCTTGAAACCAAAAATAAAGAAGAAGAACAAAGCCTCCTAGCTGTCGATAGATGGAGTACGGTCGTAGTCGTCTTGTAATAGCTACTAGTAGTGTCGTTGAAAATTGGCTTGAAGACTTGTCTTATTTCAAAATTAGACAAAATCGGAAGCACGACTGACCAGATACCGCCATTTCCACAGCGTTCCAGTTGCTTAGAAGCAGATACCTCTAGTGCTTAGCTAGTGCTTAGCTTGCGCTTAGCTAGCTAGAAGTAGATCCCCCCTAGCTAGAAGCAGATTCCCATAGCAAGCTAGAAGCAGATACCCCTAGCTAGCTAGAATCCTAGTTATATAGCGTTCGCTGGCTTTAGAGTTTTTCCTGGTAGAAGCAAACCCCCTACTAGGATGCATGTAAATAGCTTTAGCTGATTTTTAAAAGCACCATCCTAGCTAGGATACCTATTTAGTTTTGCTGACTTATTTGTATTCTAACCCTACCCTTATACCTGCAGGGACCACCGTAGCAGGAAAAACAATTAAAGGGGTTGAGGGCTCTGGCAGCAAGACTGCCGAGGTAAATAGTTAGGAATTATATGTCGAAATCCCAGTGAGCCGCGCTGTGAGCAGAATTCTTTCTTGATCATCCACGGACCATGGAACCTCCGTTGGCTGAAGTTTGGTTGATTGCTTGCATGCGGTTTCTTCTATAGAATCTTGAGTACTGCGGCCGTTCAGTTGCCAACAAGCTGTCTCGGTGGCCTTTGTTGCTTTGAGTAGAAGAATGGGGGTTCAGAGTACTGGCTTGTTCGATGCCTTGACCGTGTCCTTTCTCCAATTTCTCAAAATGATTCGCTTCGGAAATGAAGACCACAGGCTTCGTACCAGTATACTCTTCGGGGCCGGTCTTCGTAGTAGTCCTCTTTCTTGTACGAAGAACTGTTGTACGACCTTTGGATGTGGTTTGGACAGCTTGGCAATCTGGGGTGCTGTGCCGTTGAATTTTTCGGTCGCACCTCTCGTCTAGCTAGCTATATCTTGCTGGCTTCCGTAGATAATCCTCCTGCTCTAACCCCCCTCCCCCTTAATTTAATAGAGGCCTATTTCGACGGCTCTCTTGTTGAGCCCACCGTAGCAACTCCCACGGAAGTGAGTGCTCTGAGTGTGCTCGGGTAGAAGCCTGAGTACATGTACCACTTGTTCTCGAGATCCCGCTCCAACTTTCGATCTTTCCTCCAGGTGGGGACATCCTCCACGCCGTGGATCTTCATTAGATTTAAAGTTTGGCCTATTGGGATTTAGAGCAAGGTTTCGACCTTTGCAGTGCACGAATGCTGCAGCTTCATCTTGCGGGTGGATCGGGTTTGATGATCGATGGACTTGCACGCATAGCTCACGCATGTACCGTAGGCATGGTGTTTCCTACAACTAGAAATTCTGGATGTTTCTCATCAATCTCGGGGAGTGAGATAAGAGCTGAGATAAGTAAGCTATGCATGGAAGCCTGAAGAAGTATTTGTACTGTAGAAACATTCGCAGTAAAACCTACCTAGCAGAAAGTTTCGTGAAATGAGCGCCCTGTGCAAATTGATGCATCCTTTTGAATGTCCCTGCATGCCTTGAATAGATATTGAAGGCGTGTCTTCTGCTCGTTTGTTGTTTGAAGGCATCAACGGGCAGTTTCGCCGCGTCGTGGACTCTCGAACCGCCGTACCGGACAACGTGTCGCCAGAATCGAATCTATAGCCTTTTTTTGGTTCGAAGGGGAGTCGAGTCCGACCAATGTGATCGGACTGGATGGTTGTACTGCGACTTTAAAAAATGCATTGCTAATAACTTCGGTTATGTGGGCACTTGGTCTCACAGAACTCTATAGATTCCCATGAATAGCCCGCTGAGAGTGCACGCTCAGGAAGGATATCAAGTTCGTGTGGCACAAGAGCAACCACACTCAGTGCAATCAAGCAACACTCCATAAGGTTCTTCACATGGGTCAAAACTGTTCTGAATGCAGGTGCCATTGATCTTGCAAACCCCTGGTGAAATAGTCCCAGTGAGCATTGGATTCCCTCCCAACTTGAGTGAGTGCAGTGCTTGAGACAACTGGCCAAGCTGGCTTGGGATTTGGCCTGAGAAATTGTTGTTCTCCAGTGATATCTCTCTCAAATTGGCAAGGAGCCCTAACTCTGATGGAATCTGGCCCGAGAGTTGATTGCCTCTCAATACCAATGAAATGCGAAGATTTGTCAATAGACCAAGCTCCTGGGGAACTGGGCCAGTTAGAAGGTTGTCCCGGAATGTCAGCAAGGTAGTCTGTGTCAGAAGACCTAGCTCTGTGAGCAAGGTTCCTTCCAGTGAATTGTTGAACAAGGAAAGAATCCTCATCTCTTCAAGAATGCCTATTTCACTAACAATGGTCCCCGAGATTCTGTTTTCTTCCAATGTCAACGTATCCAAAGCCTTTGCCAATCCAATCTCTGACGGGAGCGTGCCTAGGAATAGAATTCGTTTACAAGAGTGACAGTCACAACAAGATAGGATCAGTCAGTCAAAGATTCTAATCTCCTTTGGAACAAAGGGTGCCAGTTTATTTGTCATGCCAAACATTTGTCTACGCCATCCAGTGACTTACCAGAAAGGTCACAGACAGTCAAGCTAAGCCACCGCAACTGGGAGAATAACCTAATTTCTGTGGGGATGCTCCCACTGAGGCCATCATTGAAATTTAGGAAAAAGCTGCTCAGGTTGGTAAGCTGCCAGACTTCTGTGGGAATACTCCCTTGTAGATTGATGCCGGGAAGTCCCAAGATTGTCAATGCTGTCAAGAGGCCAAATTCGGAAGGGATGGTTCATCCATGATCTGAATTGGCAAATGCCAGCCCTTGGAGCTCCGTCATTTGTCCAAGAAGTGTGGACAGGGGGCCAACAAGCATATTGAAACCCATTGACAGAGTTTTAAGGGTAGTCAGCATGTATAGCTCTTCGGGCAATAAACCCACAAGATTATTCTGGTCGAGCCACAGATGCTCGTAGATACCGGTATGGGTATCACACTTGCTGGTCGGTAGCTGAAACTCTTGAAGGAAGCCAGTGTACAAAAATGCAATTTTGGACTTCAGTGCAAACTCTGATCTTGTGAACCATTCACATTCATGGACTGTGTGATTGAGCCAGTTGTCATTGTGCGCCCAGATGTTTCCACCTGTGGCATAGTAGATGGTGGCCAAGGCAAAACGCTGTTTGATTCGGTTCATGAATACAGAAGAATTGTTGTTTGAGTAGTCATCATCGAGTTCAGTCATGTCGTCGAGCAGCCATTGGAACGCCAGTGATTGCGGTGACTGCACATCTTCCATGATTTTTTGCTGGGTGTCCTCTGGTAACAGGGACAAATAGTATTGATCCAAGGTTGTTGGTGCCTCAGACGGGTTGCTGCTAGGCATACTTGTGGGATTATCTTCATCATCATTGGATGATTCTCCCCTGGAAGGTACAAGAATGGTCACCAATATGATGATAACGGCAATCAAAATGACAAGTCCCAATAGAATGTAGGTGCGGGATTGCTTGGTTCTTTGGGCTCTTCGATTGGCCGCTTCCAAATCAACACTTTGTGCTTGGGGCAGAGCATTCAGTACTTCGGAATTTTCGTCTACCAAGTTTGCCACAACGAGTCCAGTGGTATCGTGGCTTGGTCTTGTTTCTGGCGGCAGCAGTGATGGTTCCATATTACTTTCACTGGCAACGTCTTGAGTAGCACTAGCATTGGTTGTGGTTTCTGTTTGAGCTGCTGCTGCTGCTGCTGCAACCCCAAGAAGGCCAAATTGGGGTCCGAGGGTTCTTTGTAGCTCCCTGCCAGGGCCACTAGAGTAAGCCCCCGGTGTTGCCAATGTCAATGCCACAGGTTCTGTCCCGGTTTGTACACAGTTGTGAGTGTTGCTCTCTATGCCATCACTATGGATACTGTGGCCAGTACCCTCCGTACCGGTATTCCTAGGTACAGTATCTAGAAGACGTGATTCCACAATCTTTTGAATCTCTTCATTCTGCAATGGACGGCCGCTGCTATCTACCATAATGCCGTTGACGTTATTCTCATTAATGCTGTCAGCTGCAGCTAAACCGTTAGATACGCAACCTGGCTTTGTATGCTTTAGCAAGTCCAATTCCGCTGAAAGCACCGTGCTAGGAATCGCCGTTTCATTTCTTGGTCTTTCACCATCCTCAGCTCTTTCAGAATCCGAAGATCCCTTACTAGCATTACTAGTACTAGCATTAGTATTAGCATCCATCTTCATCGCCACTTCCAAGTGTTTATAGCTAGCTAGTAGTAGCTAGTTTGATATCTTATGGGGATTGCATGGTCGACGGTGATTCCGGTCATACCGTAGATCGAAGCTTGCTTGGGACTTTGTCGATCGCGGTGGCTCCTGCACGTCTTTGCTTCGCACCAGGACCTGATAAGCCTCCACGTCATTGGTAACCGTATCAAACTCTACTAGCTACCATATCTCCATGCTACTCAAGCAGCTCGCACTGCAATAATAATAGTGTTTCTAGTGCCAAAAACGTTACGGCCACCAATCTAAAGTCCAGAGAACACTATGGCAATCCACAATGAGTTGGCCTGGTCGGAGTTATAAATGTAAAGCATCTGCTACAACGTAGAGTGCGGCATGGTTCGATGCGCATAATGGTTGGCTGCATGCTTTCCGTTTGGAGGCTTGCCTCGTTGATTTTGTGATCGTGATTGACATTTACCGTAATGTACAAGCTTTGGTTTGGATAAGCCAGCGGAGCTGTGTAACCTCGGCAGAAAGGTTTCAGTGCAGAAGCAGATACCCCTATAGCTAGCTAACTAGAAGCAGACACCTCTAGTGCTTAGCTAGTGCTTAACTTGTGCTTAGCTAGCTAGAAGCAAATCCCCCCTAGCTAGAAGCAGATTCCCATAGCAAGCTAGAAGCAGACACCCCTAGCTAGCTAGAATACTAGTTTTATAGCTTTCGCTGGCTTTAGAGTTTTTCCTGGTAGAAGCAGATCCCCCTACTATGATGGATGTAAATTGCTTTAGCTGGTTTGCACCATCCTAGCTAGGATACTTACTTAGTTTTTGCTGACTTATTTGTATTCTAACCCTACCCTTATACCTGCAGGGACCACCGTAGCAGGAAAAACAATTAAAGGGGTTGAGGGCTCTGGCAGCAAGACTGCCGAGGTAAAGAAAATTAGGTTGTCCGTTGACACGAGCCCTGAACAACTTGGTCAAAGGGGATCCCCCCTTTGGCGGACCCTGGCTAACTGTATGGTCCCCCCTTTAGCTACGGTAGGATCGATGTCTACTCGAGGAAGCCTGCCGTAACGCTCTCGCACAATCCGGATTGCAGTGGGACTGAATCACGCTCTTATCGTACCAGTAGATGCATGGGCATGAATCGCTTCGTACCGTCGCTGTGCCCTGGGCTTTGTGGCTTTCTGACTCTCATATCCTAAGATGACCCTGGAAACAAGAGCGAGAGGGAGGCAATCCTCATGACGGGTTACGGCCTGAATTCGCGACTTCGGATCGAACAGATCGATCAACGATGTTGTTTCTACGATGTGGGAAAACACAGCTCCATAGCAGCTCGAATTCGTCCAAGATTTGGAGAGCGGGCTGCTAGAATATAGCTACCGGTATAGCTGACATCCTTTTCGGGTTCTTTTGGAAACGTAGATAGTGGGCGTAACCTCGGTGTTAAGGCACGAAGAGCTAGGTTCTGCTTGAAGTTTACTTATGCAAATATGTACTAGTGAAGTTTAATTATGCAAATATTTAGTAGTATGATGATCAACACACAGCCATCCAGTCATTCCGTTCAGGGTCCAGTTTGGTTTCCCTCAGTTAGGTTTGCCTCACTCAGTAGCTGATCACCTCCATTGGTAGGCTCTCCCTCCAGTATCGGTGATGTGTCATAGTCAGAACAGTTACACCAGTCACATCCACAGAGCTGGCTGCTGCAGTCAAACGTAAGGTTGTTGGCAAAACACAAGCTCTCAGGGATAATGCCAGAAAGATCATTTCCATACAACAAGGCTTGACCATAAGGTGCATGGAAAGGAACATTGCCAAGCTCCAGTGGCACTGTTCCAGTCAAATCATTGTCAAACAGCCACAACTGCCACAAATCAGTAAGCAGTCCAAGCTCTGTAGGAATGGTTCCTGTCAGGTTATTGCTAGGCATGTTCAACACAAGCACTTGCTCGTACTTTCCAAATTCACTTGGGATTGTGCCCGACAAATCGTTCGCATGAAGCCATAAGTTAGATAACTTTGTTAGAAGGCCAAGTTCTGTAGGGATCTAAAGCAAAAAGAAGAAACGGTGGACTTCATTTTAGAAGAAGAAGAAACTTGACATGACCAGCACAACACAAGACTTACAGTCCCAGTAAAGGAGTTATCTGACAGTGTCAATCCATCCATGGTTGTCATGTTGCCAAGCCACCTGGGGATCGTCCCCGTAAGGCCGGTGTTATCCAGTTGCAGAAGTATCATGTCTGTAAGAAGTGCAAGCTCATTTGGGATCTACCAGAATGTGCTTGTAAGATTTCGAAAATAGGAAAACATGGAAAATCCACCAATGCCACGGTGAAAACTTACAGCGCCACTCAGAATGAGGTCGTGCAGGAACAGGGTCCATAATCCAGTGAACTGCCCAAGCTCTGTGGGAATTTCCCCGGTAAATAGGTTGGTGTCAAGTACTAGACCCCTCAACTTAGTTAGCAATCCCAGCTCTGTTGGTAACTGCAATATCAGAAACAGCCAGTGAGACACACCAACAAAACATTCAGAAAGAGAAACATTTTTGTACCTACTGGTCCTGTTAGCTGATTTCCTGATAGAATGATGCCTGCCATTGAGTTTGTAAGGGAATAAAGGGATGACGGAAGCTGGAAAAGACAGTTATTCAAGGGAAGAAATGACAAGGTGAGATATCACAGCAAGCTCTACACAGGTAATCCATGGTCTATGACTTACAGTTCCAGTCAAAATTCCCATGTACACGATTCCAAGTTTTGACAATTGTCCAATTGCCTCAGGAATGGAGCCAAACAGCCCACAAAACATCATCGAAAGATATTCCAAATTTGAAAGGTTAAAAAGCTCATCAGGGATGGTGCTTGTAAGGTTCAATTCATCCAATGCCAAGCTCTTGAGGTCTGTGAGCAAGTAGAGCTCTGGTGGAATGCCTGATCCTAACAGGCGGTTATAAGGCAGCCAAAAATGCTTCAGGATTCCTTCTCCCTGATACAAGATGCCATCCTGTAGATATCCAGCTGGATCTTGCTCACATGGACTGATGTGATCCAGTGGGAGAACATTGTTGGCCTCAACAAAGAAATACCATTGCTCCAAACCAGAATACCAAAGGCACTCATGAACACTGTGGTTTAGCCAATTGTCACTGGAGAACCATTGTTCTTTGCTGTTGGCAAAATAGAAAGTTGCTAGTACAAACCGTTGTACAACTCTTTGCTCTGTAAGGTTGCGTAGGATGTCAATCTCTTCCACGAGCCATTCAAATGCCATCGACTGGGGCGATTCTGGGTCCTCCAGAATTGCAGAGACTGTTGATTCATGGAAAAGAGACAGCCAGTACTCTGAATACGATGATGGTCCCTGAGATGGGTTGCTGCTGGGCATCTCACTAGGTGAGGTTGTTGGGACAAGATCTGCATTCTCCTCTTGACGT